CCCCCCCCCCCCCTCGTTCACACCTTACACACACACACACGCACACACACATGAACACAAGGGCCACTCCATTCGCTTATTATCATTATATCAACAAATCTCGAGAACGGAAACCATTAGGAGACATAGAGTTCAAGTTTAAATTCTCCCGAACGTTTGGAGAAATAGAGCCGGACTATCTTAAATTCAGTTTTTAAGAAATACATTTTTCACCATTTCTTACCATAATTAAATCTTTTAATGTCTTGAAAGATTGAAAATAATTTGGTATACAACATGTTTAATAATTTTATGTTACTTGGACAAGTTTTCTTCTTATTTTGCCGATGATATTTTTAATTTTTAAACTAGCTATTTATATTAACGGGAGGAGCTACCCTTGAGGATCATTTTCTATGTTTGTTGCCCGAGATCAAATCTAAGTACACATATAAGTTAGAAATAGTAAAATCTCTTGATACGCAATTTTATTTTGGTATAGCTACAGCGGTTGCTATGGAAATGGCCGCCATCTTGAAAATTAACAATGAATTCCAAATCCCTAAGGCTTTCTTATTTACAGACCAAATTTGACCAAATTTGGTGAGAGCATACCTGAACCAGACCCTATCAGAGTAACAGCAAGTTTTTTTCAATGAGCGCAGAAGAAAAACAAATTGACAAATTTCCCAAAGTATAAACAAACTTTCTCTAAATTTAGGTTGCGTAATCGCTTGCCAATGGAAAAGTATTATTTTTTTCACAAATATCTCTCTTTTACAGTGATGACAGCCTTGCCAACTATGTTTCCTGAAAGTTTCATGTCAAAAGAAAGAAAACTAAGGAAGGAGTAGGAAAAAAGCTGCACAAAAATTACATTTTGCGAAAACCAACAGTAACTGTGAAAATTCACTATATTAATCCATCCTCATGTTTTTAAAGGCAATTTACCTGGAGAATAAAGTCTTTCTCAATTGTATCCATGCTATTTTTAGACAAAAATTTGTTTATCTTAAAAAATCAGCCAACATAAAATGTGCATAGCCTGACCCAAAATCTGCAAAATCAAGGGTCGCTCCTCCCCTTAAACTCTTAAATAATTGCCATATCACACACAGAATTTGATTTTTTTTTCTCCCTGTCATTCTATCCGTCATCCCGTCAGTTGATCACAATCTCTCTCTCTTATTTAACTTTTCCCATTCTCCTTACGTCCCTTCCCAAGGCCCGCCCCACCTCTTTCATCCCAGCCCCCCCATCCATCCCCTCTTCTTTTCGTGCATTCCCCCACCCTGCTCACCCCCACAACTTTTACTATAAGAATCTATAAAAAGAAACACCGCAGTTCGTGAGTTTAGACTACAGTCTGCAGCCATATTTACTCCCCACCTCGGCGTGCCGCTCGTGGCACCGCGAAGAGAGAGAGGAGGGTCCATTTGTTTTACGAAGTGACTATTTCTCCAAAAGCTCAGGCAAATAAACGTGACCTCTATTTCTCCGAACAATTTCCGTTCTCGAGATTTTTGGTTTTTTTTAGACTATTTCGGCGTGATCTTTCATTCAGCCATTCTGCTAGGACTGGGAGGAAGCATTTTTTGCATCGACTTAAATTTTTTCTAAAGCTAGAGATTTTTAAATGTCTGAATATTCAGATACACTTCAATGGTGGTTGGGAAACGTTCCTGGACTATACTTCATTTGAAAATGCCTTCAAAAGGTACTGCGAGAAAACAAGACTGCTCAACTTTGATTTGGCAGTAACTTATTTTACATTTCTAAAGTCACAGCTTCCTTTAGTCACCCCTATCTAAAGCAAAAACTAGATCTAGTATCCAGATCTAGATTAGATCTAAAATCCTTATGTAAAAAAAAAAAATCCTTTCACGCCC